CTGATCAGAGCCATGAAGGTGATGGCGCTGTAGGTCGCCAGGTAGTAGGCAGCCCCTGCCAGGCGACAGGTGGCTTCCGAGAGGAGCCAGTCCCCCCCAGCCAGGTAGTAGTGGATCCAGAGGGGAAGGGTGAGGTTGAAGAGGATGTCAGCCAGCGTGAGGTTGATGAGGTAGATGCGGATGGCCTTCCTCACCTTGCCGCTCTGCAGGAAGACCAGCAACGCCACCAGGTTGCCCGGCAGCCCCACACACAGCACCAGGCAGTAGGTGATGGGCACCAGCATGAACTGCACCGGGTTGTTGGGCACACACTCGCCAGGGTGTTCCACCAGCAGCGTTCCTGGCACTGAGCTGTTCATCCCGGGCTCCTGCAAAGATGGAGACAGTCAGGGGCAACCCTTGGGACAGGGGAGGGATGTTGGCCTGGTCAGGGCAACCTCTCTGGCTGGCACTGCTGGGCACTGAAGGCAGAGCCCTGCAGAGATGCCATCATCTGCCAGAAGGGCTCAGCTCACACAGGAGAGGAGGAGACCCCAGCTCTGTCCCCCCACACAACAAGGGAGCCTAGAGGCCGCTGTCAACTGCCCATCCAGAGCTCCCAGGGAGTGGCAGGCACAGCTGCAGCACGGCCAGGGGACAGAGCTGCAGCCTGAGGCACCCGAAGGTGCCACACTGGCTCCAGTCAGCAGCTGCAGGGCTTAACACCTCCCACACAGCACGTGCCTGTGGGGCCACCCACCCCAGCCCTCTCCCAGCACCCCAAATGCCCCATGGAGCCAGCCATGAGGAAGTCACTGACTGGCTAAGCAAGCTGCAAAGTGCAGAAACCCAGGTAGGGACAGGGGGTGCAAACACAGGGCCAGAATCCCCCCAGGCCCCCCAGTCCTGCACAGCGGGGTCTGCCTCTGGTCCTGGCCATGGGAAAGCACACCGTGCTGCAGTGGCTGTATCCAGGGCTGCAGTTACTTCACCTCCCATCACTGCCTGCCCACACCTCGCCAACAAAGGCACTGAGTCACCAGCTGGTGTTTTCCAGCACAGCAGGGCTGGATTCGGCACGCACAGCACCCAGCTCCGGGCTGAGGCACGGAGAGCACGAGCTGCTGAGCCTGGGGGACCTGAGTCTGAATCCCTCAGGGGTCCCATTTCCCTCCTCCTTCCCCATCACACACACAGGGAATGCTCCATCTCACCCACACCACGATTGTTACTCACCTCGTCGGGTCAGGCAGGAGCGGTTCTGTCCCCTCTGGCTGCTCCTCACTGTGACCCAGCCAGGCTGGGGATGGCTTTAAGTGCTGGGGAGGCAGGGGCTGCCTGACCCCCACCCACCATCCCAAACCCCCCTGTGTTAGTGCCTGTGGCACAGCAGCTGGAGTGGGGAGAGCACCTGTGTGTGTATGTAATGGGGAATTCCCTGCTGGAGCCACCCTAAGACCCCCCTGCGACGGCTGACGGGGCTGGGGGCATGTGGGAGTGGCCAGAACTGGCCTGGCTGACCCCCCCTGTGTGCCCCCAGCCTCATCTAATTCCAGTTCCCAGGGCCCTTCTCCCACCCACGCCTGCATGAAAGCAGCAGAGGGTCAAGTTTCTGCAGCCAGCAGCTGGGGAGAAGAGGGATGCCCCAAAGGGATCAAAGCAGGAATCTGCCTCCTCCTGCCTCTTTTGTTGGCTTCAAAGCTGGTTTTAAGGGGAGCAGCCCTGCAGGCCCCCCCCAAGATCTGTGAGCGTCTGAGTCGCTGCTTTGTGTGGCCCTGAAGTTTGTGTGTGCTCCTTTGGGACACCAAAGATGTCACCCTGAGGTAGGTGACACTTAAATTCAGGTCCCACCAGGGGTACAGGGGTGTCTTACACACCCCTTGTTCATCCCAACAGCCAGACTCCCCACACAGCCCCCTTGCTGGGAGACATTTCAGGTGAGCTGTGGTTCATCCTGAGCGTGCTGTGCCCATCTGGGGTGGCAGAGGGCGGCTCCCTGTGGGAGCAAGATCCACAAAAAGCACATGCCTGCCTGGGCACTCACTCCTGTCACTGCCTGGGTGTGCAGCAAGGGGCCTGACATATTGTTGGGGGGCTGTGGGATCCCACCCCAGATGGGCTCTCCCCTCTGTGCCATCTCCTGCACCAGCTCCCACATGTCCCCAGGCCTTCTGTTCAGGCATTGTCCCCAGGGACTGGGTCCTCCAGCCCCAGGACATCCCCTCAGCCCCTGAGGCTTAACATGGGGGCAAGGCAGAAATAAACAGGGAGGCAAAACATGAAAAACAAGAGGTTTTATTCCAAAATTTGAAAGAGAGCAGAGCCAGCCCCTGCTTAGTGTGGCCAAACACTGGAAAGAACTGGACAGCTCGTGCGAGTTCAGCAGTGCCATGGCAGTGTCACAGCAGTGTCACCACGGTGCCATGGCCACCATCCCACAGCACCAGCCCAGGTCCCACAGTCTGGGGACAACAAGCACCAGCGTCACAGGCAGAGGCAGGAGAGGACACACTGTGTCTCATCAGCAAGGATGCAACGTCGTCCCTGAAAACACCATAAAGGCGTTGCTCCCCAGCAGCCGTGCCGTCTGTCCTTCCTGTCTGTCCTTCCCGTCTCTCGTCACTCGAACTTGGGCCGGGGGGCAGCTGGGTACCCGCGGATGTTGAGCAGCAGGAGGAGGCCGAGGGACAGGGTGGCCGGGGCACACATGGCCAGCGGCTCCTGCAGCGCCAGCAGCGTGTAGATGGCACCTGGGCAAGGAGCAGAGTGTGGGAATGGGGGTCTCTGGCCAAGGGTGTCCCCAGACTCCACCATGGCAGTGGGTGCCCTCTGGCTCTCACCGATCATGACGACGCTGAGGGTGAAGTTGCTGATCTCCTGCAGCAGCTGGGGCCCAAATGCCAGCAACAGCCCGGCCGTCACCTCCACCCAGCCCACGGCCGCCAGGTACCTGCCCGGCTCCGGCACAAAGCCCAGGTCCTTCAGGGGAAACACCTTGGCAAAACGCACGAACTCCGATGCCTGAGAAGGGTGGGAGAGGGGTGAGGCAGCCCTGAGCCTGGGGCTGGGGAAATACAACCCCATCCAGTGTGTCTGCTCTGCCCTGCCCTGCCTTCCTAAGGGGATCAGCTCTGCATCCTAAATAACTTAACCACACAGCCTAAGGGGATCAGCCCTGCACTCCAAGGGATTCTGGGCTGACTTACAATGAAAGGTTCAGCCTTGCACCCAAAGTGCTCCACCCTGAACCCCTGTAGCCACGACCTGCTCATTCTTACCCAAGGCTCAGCCCCGCACCACAACAGGATCAGCCCTGAAGGTTTCCCCTGGAGCTCA